GGCAACACTAGGAAACACACATAATTTCACAAGTTGCTTAGTCTTCCTGCTTTCCGACCTTTAGACTCATTTCCCCAATTATGACTTTGCCCAACCCCTAAACTGTTCCATGCTTTTTGGCTTTGAGTTTTTCTTTTGATTTTTTTTTTTTTTCGGTGGTGTTTGAACTCAAGGCTTTGCACTTGTTAGATAGGAGCTCTACTGCTTGAACCATGCCTTCAGCCTTTTCTTTCCTCTGGTTATTTTGAATATAGGGTCTCGCATTTTGCCCAGGCCGACCTGATGCATCATCCTCCTATTTTACGTTTTCTGCCAGCTGTGATGACACAAGAATGCCACTATGGCCAGCTTTTATCCGTTTTATGGAATCTCACGAATTTTTTTGCCCATGGTTGGCCTGGAATCTTGATCCTCCTGATCTCAGCCTTATAAGTAGCTAGGATTACAGGAGTGAATCACTGGTGCTCACCTTTATTTCATTTTTTAACCGTAATAGTAATCATCCTCCAGTGATGGTATGAAATACAAGTGTGCGAGAGCCAGTCCATTCCAATTTGCAGGAGATAATTGTTAAATATTTGAGATTTTCCTAAGCCCACTGCTAAACACAGCCTTTATAAAAACTACACTACAGAAGCTTTAAATTAGGTACAAGGAAAACAAAGGTAATAAATTATCAAAACTCACAATCAGTTCCTAATTATGTAACTACATTGTACCACTTTATGTATATTTAGTCACATAAATAACTTTATTTACATAACACAGCTACTTACATCTATTTTATTCATATGGCAAAAAATCTTGTGCCATGCTATACTATTGCCCATCTTCAACTCTCATTGGTAGCTTGGTATCAGGCATGGTATGACTATTTATACCATGAAAATTGTTTTTGTGTTTTGAGAGCCACTTGTAAACATTTGCCAACACTACATAGAAATAACTTACAGAGTCCATTCTATAAACCAAGCTGGGATGCTATAGAGGAACAGACTGTACTGAACCTTTCAGTAGGAATTTAGAACTGAGGACAGCAAAGTATAGCAAATAAGGAGCACAATTATAAATACTGAAGGCAGAGAGATTTGACAGGGATTATGAAGCGGGATAAGGGAAACTTAGGTGGTGGTGACCTACTTTTAGTATTGTCTACTAAATCTGTCAGGGAAATGGTTAGCTCTGTCTGATTATAAATACCAATTAGATTTCAATGAGAGTACTATATAAAGGCTTTGTACTCCTTAGGGGACACATTTTTAAACACAACTTGGATGATAGATGAGAGATAGATAGATAGATATAAAAATAAATAATGATAGACAGGTAGATAGCAACACTTATGGTATACACACATACAACGTGTTCAAGTTGGTAATAAACTAGATGATTTCACTACATAAAACAGACCCAAGCCTAGCTACAAAGTTACCGGTGAATTAAATGACTCTATAAATGGGTCAGATAAAACTTTAATAGCTTTAGCAGATATGTAATTCCACGATGTCTGAGTAAGATTAACATTCTTTAGCATTGCATGACATCTTTCATGTTATACCTATAAACTGAACAAAAATATTTATAGGAACAGCAGTTCTGTGCATTTAAAACAAAGATCCAAAGAACCTGATTCCCATTAAATAGTTACTTCCTAAAACACTTAAGTGTAATTTGAGGTTACTGGCTGCTTGATATTCTTCTGCTTTTTAGGGTGTGGAGTCTCAGGTAAGAGACTGCCCTTATCCTTGAACTCTGTGCCAGCAAGCACTGGGAATGCTCCAGACTTTCAATCAGTGAGGGAGAGAAGGTGGAAGGCTTTTTCTCTTCTGACCACAATGCCGGCAGCAGATTAAGGAGTGGTGTTGCCCACACTGCGCAAGTCTTTCTGAGTCTACTTTTGCTGTAAGTCCCATGGCTCTTACCGGGTGGAGTTCTAAGCAGAATGTGTGAAGCATGCATCACTCCAGTCTGCTGTGACTGAGGCATTCTTTGAAAACGTGTCATCAGAGTTCAACAATGTTCCTTTTAAATTAACCACTAGGGTTTTCTAACATAAATAAGAGGTTCTCTTTCCTTCCCTGATTACACAATCAGACTGAAAAAGAAACTCAGTCTTTTAAGAAGCACATGATAAGGTATAAAAATTGTATCACAACTACAAACAATAACTATTTCCACAATTTTTCTTTTCAGTGTGTTAGGCCTAGGGAAACACCCTGAGATTTGTGTGTTGCTATGATGGACAAGATACGTAGGAATGGGAAGGTAGGTAGCATGGCTAAGAGTGAGGGCCCAAGAATTTTTCTACCCTCATGTGTTCTCACTATGGTTCCTCTTCTAATTCTTTCTGACTTCACTCCATCCGAAACTTCCATCCTGGACCCATTACTCCAGAGGGTTGCCAACTAAATCATCAAATCATGACAAGTAATTAATTAACATGGCAGGCAAATAGCAATTGGTAAAATCTCTCACACATTTTTCTCACAGATGAATCTTGAAAACAAAAACTATAATCAAGACAAAAAAGTAAAAAAGATTTTTATTTTCAAATATTTGGGGTAAGAAATGTCTTAGTCAAAGAAGTGTCAGATCAGATCTCATAAAGCAGTAGCGGATAGGGTGAGCATAATTTATTGCAGGCCTATAAAGTTTTGTGATTCTAATACGTTCCAAAAGTTAACTAAGATGGCATTGCAAATTTCTCTATTTTAAAGTAAGATGTAAAGCATTATACTGAAAAAAATTTTAAAGGCTTTTAAAAGCTTTTCTTTAAAACTTTACATTTGATCTATATTTCACCAAAACGATGTTACTGTACATAATACGCCACATTTTCAGTATCAGAGATTTTTTTTCTCAGACTTACCTAAAAAGTAAGAACAAACTTTTACTTTTGAATCATCTTTAGCATCAGCTACTAACTTTTTTTGGTGGGGTGTAAAAGGAGTTTATTAAAAGTTAGGGAAGAGAAATACAAAGCGTGGTGAGGCTCAGGTGGAAGCCAGGAAGAATCAACCACTAATTTCACTGTTTAGACTCATACCAAAGGTATTCCATTTTATAGTTACAGTAATGATAATGTAGCAATATACTTTTTTTTTTTTTTTTACTAAGTTCAAGTTAGATACTGTATCTGTAAGCTTTTCTCAGCCAGGTATATGCTGAACTTTGTAAAGGTTTTATAATAAAAAGCTGTTCTTGACTGAAATACAGACCTTCCATAATTACACGTTACAGTGCAATTCTTAGGTAATGAGCTTGTGGCTTTCCAAATTTAGGACAAAGCATGTAGTTTTATCAGTGCATTGAGATTTAATCTTGTTCTCCTTTGATTCCATAAATGTTGGTTGTAGCATTGAAATGGGTCACCTAACTTGTATTTTCTTTATTTCTTTTTAAGAGTGAAAATGCAAATTTCTGGCTCCTTGACAAGAGAATTTCAGCAACTTTCTCCATGACATGAAATATTTTATTTGGAAGGCCAATGTTTCCTCTCCTTAGAAGGCTTTCTAGATAAGAGTATGATGAAAACAAATTCTGGAATACAGGACCTTACCTCTATTCTTTCAAGTGTAAAACATGAGTGATGCTTTTTGGGAATGGAGCCTGGGAGGAACCCAGAAAAAGAGCTGCTGGAAGTTTGAACTACTTCAACCGAAACCAAAAATTATAGTTTACTGGGTTGAAAATAGTATCCCCTACTTAAAGATCGTTGACACAAAGTCAATCAACCCTTTAATCTGTGTAGTTTATAGTAATTTACTTGGCAGAAGTATCTCAGATTAAAAATTTGCACAATAGAGGTTTCTGCTAAATAGCTAAGAAATTATAGATAGTCAAAGAAGACAACTTTTGCACAAGTTGTTCACAATATTTTTTTCATAATTAAAATGAAAGTATGCCAGGAATCACCCCCCTATTAAAATTCTACTGCTATGTCAATGGCTATTTGTAATTTTTCTGGCTAATTTTTTACGTCAGCATCCGGTGACATACTGTAGTTTTGATGACAATTGTGTTTCAGTGTGCATTTTCATTGAACGTTTGGTTAAATCTCTTCTTTTTTTTTTTTTTTTGTAAAATTATTAGGAAAGGCTTCTAAAGCTAGGAGTGTTTGCTTTTAGGAAAGCGTGGGGGGGCGACATCAGATTTAGTATTTTGTCATCCTTCTGCCTCAAAATTTTAAAAATTGGTTTAAAAATCGTAACCACCAGATTTCACCGGGAAAACTGAAAACTTAGTACCTTATTAAGGATGCTCAACTGACGCAGGATGTTGAGACTCTGCTCCTGGCTGCAGGAGTTGGAAATTTTTTGTTGCTCTTCTTGTCTGTGACATACGGTACAAGGGTTGGCCCTGGTTTGGTCCACCTGCCAGAGGAGTTTAAAGTTTCCGAGGCTCTGAGGAACACAATGACTTGGATCAAACAGCCTAAATAGGAAGAAAGGCATTTATGCTGCCCCGAGGAAGCCGTTAAACTCCTGCAAAGCTAACTCTTTTTTAATGCGTTCATGCCGCATAAAAACAGAACCGACCGACCGACCTCCTCTTTCCCTGACCAGAGATTATTTCTGACAATCCAGGATATCCCGAAAGCTTGGAGACATATGGCCGGAAAATGAAACGACCCAGGAGTGTGACCACATCATTATTTTGTGTCGCGTAGTACCAGATGGGCACTCCGTGAACGTCGCAGGGATGTGAACGGACAGTTTTAAATATGATTTTTTTCCTTTTAGAAAACTAAAACAGATTTCATTTCCTTCTGTTTTCGTTTGGTATAGACGTAGTTGCTTTTCCCTCCCCTTTTGAAACATCAATGAACTTTACAGCGGAGTGGCCAAAAAGGAAGAGAAAGAAGCGATCTGATTCATTTTTAGGAAGAGTCGGAGGAGCAGCAGAGGCCGGGGCACTGCGGCTGCGACCCTCCGCGTCCGGCGCAGATCTCAGGGCTGGCACTGCGCGGGCGGCTATGGAGCGCACGGCGCACTTGGTCCGCGGAGGATAGGGACCCGGGCGCCCGGGAAGGGGTCTGCCGATCTCGTGGCAGCCTTCGAGGCCTTGACTGCCTCCTCTCTGCTGGGTTTTATTATCGTTGTCCCCGTTCGTGAAAGGTCATGGAAGACGGCCCGCTGCCAGACCTCAGAGACATCGAACTGAAGCTGGGGCGCAAAGTACCCGAGAGCTTAGTGCGCTCTCTCCGTGGGGAGGAGCCGGTTCCTCGGCAAAGGGACAGGGACCCCTGCGGGGGGAGCTGCGGCGGCGGCTGCAGTAGCAGTAGTAGCTGCTGCAGCTTCCCTCCCTCCTTGTCTTCCTCCTCGTCGTCTTCCCCAACCTCAGGCTCCCCACGACGTAGCCACTCCAGCACCCTGGAGAGGCTGGAAACCAAGCTTCACCTCCTCAGGCAAGAGATGGTGAGTGTGATGCTCCAGCCGCAAAGATGGGGGCCGCGCCGGAAGATGGGGCGATCGGAGGAGGTTGGGGCGGGAGTGAGGGCGGCAAGGGGCCGCGGAGCCCAGTGCTGGGTGCGTGGGAAACGCAGGGTCGAGGAGCGCGCAGGGAGCGCGCGTCTGGAGGCAGCTAAGGCAAGGCTTGTTTACCACGGACTTTGCTCAGTCGTGGTTTGCTACGACAGTCCATTAGGCTCTACTCTGGGTACTTTCTGATATCGCGACTCACTGCGCGCAGCTCTGACTGTTTAGCTGCCAGCCGCAGCCTCCACGGGGGCACCAGCTTGTGGAAGACTTGCAGTTATTGCACCGGTCTGGAGCTTCCTTGTGAGCCATTTACACTTTCCTTAGGTTTAAAAGGTGGCTCAACCCAAGGCATTTACTGCAGAAATGCTTCCTGGTTTGCCGGGAGGTGGCGCGGCGGGGTCCTTGCTGCCTTCCTAGCTCACTCACCTCCAGTACCGCCTTCCCCTCCCCCTTGGTGCAGAAACTGCAGCTGTTCCAAGGCCACTGTTAAGCAGATTCTGCACAGCTGGTTCTGCAAACAATGGCCCACTCGTCCTTGATGTGTTTTGAAACGGCTTGTTTCACCGTTTTGATCCTGGAGAGCAGGTGATTGCCGGGTTTAGGAATTTGCTAATGACCACTTCCTGTCCTTTTCCCTCAGTCCTCAATCCGTAATTGTTTTCTCTGCTGTTTGCTAATGTTGACACCAGAAAAGGACAATGGGAGAAGTACAAGATCTAAAAACACTCGTTATTCCGGATGTATTTAGGCTAAGACATTTATTTACTTGCCCTGAGCTCTTGGGCCAGTCATTTCGCTTCTATAGACCTCAGTTTATTTTTTCAGTGATAAACTGATCGGAGGATATTATCTCTTCTTAAATCCTTTGAAGAAAATGACCACCGACCAACAGCATTTTCTACCAGCTTGTAGAGGAGAAAGCTTTCAGTAGTAGGCCTCAGTCACCCAGGAGATGGTGAGAAGGATTTCATACAAAAATGACCCAGTCTCTTGTGGATTTGCATTAAAAAGAAGTTTCCTTCCTCTCTCAAGTTCTGTAGTTGAAGACTCCATTCACGAGAGAATAAATTCCAATCATAAAGTAATCTTGTCAAATACATTTAAGCAAAAAGTCAATCTTCAGAGGTCATGGCCTATGTTAGAACACTAGGATGTACTCTGAAATCCTCTTAAAAGACTCTTAAGATTAGTCTACCTAAGAACTGTAGTTTTTATGTCTTAGATACCCATTTTCTTTTCACTGGGCATGTTGCAAGTTTTGAAAGTAAATATATATATATATATATATATATATATATATATATATATACACATTTATTTCTACATGTATCTATATGTGAATAGGTGTATACATATATTCAATGCACCATTTGTACCGCAGTTTTATTACTATATTTATGTTTTATTGTCTTAAGTACACACACATAAGTTATACATGTGAATCATTCCATAAGTATTTATTCCATCCTGGTAATTAACTGGGTACTGGAAATACAAAATGAAACAGTCAAGGAGCTTTTCTATTAGGGAGTTCTTGGGTCTCTTTCCTTAATTTGTTATTTTGTATCTGTAGCATATTAAGTGTGCTGAAGAATTCTATAGGGTGAAGAAACAAATCTGGTTCTTTTTGACCAAGAATATTTTCTAGAAATCTGTTTTTCTTAATGACAATTTTAAAGTTATTTTTTTTTCTTCAATAGGTATCTTGCCATGTCCAATGACCATGGGCTATTGATAATTTTTTAAACAGCGGAGACAGCAACTGCAGATTGCTAAAATTGGATATTAGTTATATTTTCTATGTGAAACCTCAATTTCTATAGGCTTAGAAGAGTTTATGTTAGAACAGATGTTTTTGTGATAAACTTTTTCTCTAATAAAGATTTTCATTGAGCAAAATCTCCCAAAGATTGGCTATGGAAATTAAGAAGGAGGCGAATAGAAGCAGGTACATTTCTTTGGCAAGATCATTTTCCCCCATTTTACATAATTTGTGGTGCTCGAAATCCTAGCTTCAGCACAATTGGAAAGCAACAGATTTGTTTTTATGTAGAGTTGGCAGTTTTGTTATAAACACTGAACAGATGCAGTTCAGCAGTTCTTCCTGTCTCCTCCTAGCATCCCAACTGGAGACATTAGGGAACTAGAGCTGGGCTCCCACCGCTCCATCATTTCTGTGTTCTTTGCTGTCCTATTGTATGAGCGCTGTATTCACCACCGTGGTATGCATGAGCCCACATCTCATATTGATTATTTGAGTTGTTTACTGAGTTTTCTTCTGGTTGGTCTGGAATTATCAGGCTTTGGGTAGAACTGCTTCTTCAAAAACACAAGGCTATGCACAGCCTTTCTGAGACCTTCCAGGGTTAGGCCTCCCTTCTTTTACTGTTAGAATGGATATGTAACCCAGTGATACTGTATAGCATGCACTTGGAGGGAGTCATTCTCCACACTATGCACATAAGATTTCCCATTGTCTCTCTCATCTCCTTGCATGCTTTTATAGATAATTTCTTTAATTCTTGTCAGTAAGTGTTATAGTACCTACTCTCACAGATGATGTGTTGTAAAGCAGACAAGTTAAAAAAAAAATGAAGATGGATGAAAAACTGTTCTGTTGCCAAACTTTTTAATGCTGTAACCTTCATCAGCAACACAAACAGAAGATACTGGAAAAGAAAATTTGATAAAGTAGGCCAATTCAAGTAACTTTCAGGATGTTTTGGGAAGGAACAAATTTTCCCAATGTGTGATGTTTGTATTTGGAATTTAGAGATAAGGAGATTTGACAATACAATAAAGAAATGCAAAAATACTCAGAGGAAATTCATCATGAAATTGGATATAGGTAGGTTTTTGGGCCTCTCACCCAAAGTCTTCCTAATAGTATTTGCTCACCACTCTTCACAGAATATTTTAATGTCTATCATTATTAACTAGAAAAAGTAAACTAGAAAAAGGATGTATTTTTATTCTGATCTTTTGAATGGGATCATGTGGCTTAGAGATTGGTTGAGAAAAGAGGCCAAGGTCACAGAGTGAACAGATCATCACTTGAACTCTTATCATCTGACCCAGTACACTGTGTTTCTTCCTCATACTGGTCTGTATCCCACCCAGGAATTTTTCTTCAAAATACAGCACAGCTTTTATAACTTTCTGATAGCTCACTACCTAAAAAATGTCTAAGGTACCCACAAAATCAAGCCCTCAGGATGTGTTTAAAATAATGGATTCATTTAATAGTTAACAAACAGTTATGAAGTTCCTACTATGTGTCAACTCAGCCTTTAACCTTGAGAATATAGAACAAAATGGCCTCTGTAAAAATTCAGTATGGAGAGGGCTTATATTGGATGTCTTATTTCACTATATGTGTAAAACTTGTTTTGAAGAATTTTCTGAAGAATGGGACTTTGTTGATTATTAAATATAACTCTACATTTAAAAATATCTCATTATGTCCAAAATCTTTTTCCAATAAATGTAAGTAACCTCTACTGAATCCTGTTTCAGTATTTAGTAATACGTTTTTTATGTTCTCCTTTTGCAGGATATTTGAAAGGTTTTGGTGGTATTTCAATATATCTATATTATACTTCTAGTTTAAAGGTGAAAAGTATTTTCACCAATTTAGTATGGAAGAAGTTCGAAGTGCATGATTATAAAGGCAATCACTAAAGAGTAGATACTAAACTTTCCCAAGTTTGCCTACCTAGACATTGACTACTCAGAAAGTCACATTGACATCACATTCTGGAGTCTACTCAGTTCTGTATTATGGAGAGATGGTGAAAATTGATTTGGAAATACTGGATTCTGATTTCTATAATTTTAGAAATAGTTTGTATAGTAGCCAGTAATAATGAAGCATAAAAAAAAATCTCAGTTACTTATCCTTTCTTATTATCAGAGTAGTCAAATACCTCACGAGTGCTTACTTCCTTCTTTAACAAAGTTTTCTAAGCAACTCTTAAAACTAGACACAAACACTCACATATGCAGGAAAACCCATAAATAATAATGAAAGGACACAAATCAAACTAAAAATTCTTGTGGCTGGAGGTGTGGCTCAAGCAGTAGAGCTGGCTTTGCAAGCAGGAAGCCCTGAGTTCAAACCCTAGTCCAATCAAAAAAAATTCTTAAAGTGGTAACATGATACTTGATTTTTATTGGCACTTTCATTTATTCATCTTTTCCACATTTTCCCCCTATTTTAAATGGTTTGCTTATTCTTAGAATAAAAAGAAAAATAAAAGTCGTTTTAAATTCCCTAAGAAGAGATAATAAGTTCATTAAATTAACTTCACACTTGCTTTGGGCATGGTTCAAAATAAGTAAGGAGATTTTTATCACTTAAATACCCTTAGGTAGACACTGGAAAGTGGAAGGCATTTTCCTTGAGGAGTTCCCAAGATTGCTGAAAAGATAAAATGGGAATATAATTTGGCCAGAGAAAGATTACAAACCAACATGTCAGCAGGTGCTTAATGTCAGTGCACAGATCAGATAGAAGCATTGAGACAAAGAGCTGTGGAGCTAACTCACAGGAAATGTGCCTTGTAGGGGGAATTAAAAATGCTGAGAACTTACAAATTAAGGGCTTAATGCTAGGGATGTAGATATCAAGGAAATGAGGAAATCCAATTCCTAACAGTGGCTTCTTCTGTCATTTTGCCCATGGATTGTTAATACACTTACTTAATGGAATAAATAAATCTTGTTGAAACATATTTCCTTAATCAGTGGCTCACAGATTGACAGCAGAGCAGAAAGTAATATCACTTTGCTAGAAATTCAGAGGCTAAATATATAACTTGAAAACAGTAACACTTCCAAAACTGATGCCCCACCCCACCAAGGAATGAATGCTGGAGTGATGGGTACAAGTGTGAAGAACATTTCTGGAAGAAAAGAATTCCCTGTCATTCAGGTTA